GATAAAGGAAAAAATATATGTAAAACGTCTACATAAGGTATAAAATTTTAGATAACAGTTCAAAACCATTATAAATTGAACGGGTTTGAGTTTACATAAATATGATTATATTTTTCAATGGGTTATATATATTAAAAATCTTTTACGGATTAAGTTAAAATATGATTTTTTATTTACAACGAAATCGTCATGTGGTATACCGCAGGTTGACCACATATATCTATGAATCTACTTATAATACAAATTCATAAAATTATATAAAAATAAAATGAAATAAACACATATAAAACTAGACTATATAAACCAACTACAAAAATATCCACCAAACAAATATATTAAATTATGGACCCGTGGTATACCACGGGATAAATCCTAGTATATATATATATATATAAGTTTTACTGTTATTTAACATAAATAAGATAAATATTTTGCCTACTATTTCATATTCTTCTACTTTTGTAGAGATATAATATTTTATGTTGTAACTGCTTAAACCGTCTAAAGTCGTCTAGATTTCAAATAAGCATTCTAAATATTAGGCATTGGGTCATTGTTCACTTAATGCCTAGCACTTTCTTGAACATTAAATTTGACTAATTATATGTAAACCATAAAAGACATAATAATAATTATTATTATTATTATTTTTGGGCATAAAAAGACATAATTATTTTATGTTCCTAAAAGAGAATATATGTTTATGTTCGTAACACATTTGTATTGAAGGAGTATTGTTTTCAAAATTAAACAAATTAGATCCATTTGTTTTACCAACAAAGGAGAAAGAGTAATGAAAATGTTTTTTTACCAAAAGATATTGACTAATACATGATGATTGAAATATAATCCTAATATATGATGATTGAAATATAGCACTTTTTCTTGTTTTCTTTCTCATAATATATGTGACATGAAAATGAATCTCATTTTCAAACCCTTTCATAGAAACCAATAATAGCATTTAGACATATTGTTGTTACACATTGAAAAACAGTACTTTGCTAATCATTTGAGAAAATAATACATTAAGGTGAGTAATTTTGTAAGAAGCTATTAATACTAATACTAAGCAAAAAGCTTCTTCAAGCCTATGTGATTGATGATGTGTTCTTTTGTCTCTCTTCTTCTAGCCGTAGAAATCAAGCTCTGCTTTCTTCAGTACACATGAAACTCTTTCAAAGAACTCTGTTTCACTTTCCTTCACTTCCTCGAGAGTCTTAGCCTCATGTTCATCCGCCTATCATCATAACGTTTAAGCATACCTCAAAATTAAACCCGACCAAAACCGATGAATTAATTTAGCGATTTCAAGCTGTGATCGTTAAGCAAAACCAAACCTCTTTAAACTTTAAAAGAATCAAGTTCGAGACTGTTGCTGGCTTCTTTGCATCCCATCTGATAAATCACAACTTAACGTTATCTTTTTTTCTTGTCGGATTTTTATCTAGTTTATACCTGTGGAGGAAGAGGAGTGAATCAACATACCTTACGAGCATCAACTCATTCATGGCTCGCCACATTCCTCTCCCAACATCTTTTGCAGTCTCATCTCTAGCACTTCGTCCGTGCCACAACTCTTTCACTATGTACATCACTTCCTCAACATCCACCTACAGAAATACAAGAGGAGATCAAATTTTAATCATTTTCAGGAAAGAGTTTTAGAGGAATTTTCAAGAATTTCACAAGCACTTTCAAGTGTCACATAAATCTCAGTTACCGTTACTCTTTCTATTAGTCTTTTTTTTCTTAACAAGTTGTAGCGACAAAAGAGCACAATATAAGACCACTGAGACTAATCAGAATACCTCTACTTCTGCAGATGTGCCATAAATAGTCTCTTCATGCTCAATAAGGCGGTTATGCAGCAATCGATAATGATCCAAATCTAGATTTACGATAGGCTCCATCTGAACTTTTACACCTGCAAGTTGTGTAATAACGTAGGAGGCCATAATTTGTCCAAAAATAGCTGGGATGGTTCCAAGTACAGGAATTATCCGAACACGAAAGCCAGGAACTACCTGAAAATCACAAACAAGATATGATCAATGACAAACATAATACAGGATGTAGATTCCAGTGTTCCAAGAACTGAAATTAGTTACTTGATAATCTGAGGGATTCTCGTCTTCCCCATTTGGCCCTTTAAAGGGAAGCAACTTCGCTTTTGGTTTTTCCAGGGAAAACACGACAGGAATGCCTCCTTCAATGCCATGTTCTCTCCTCAATCTGTGTCTTACCTGTAAGAAGATCAAGAACCATGTAAGAGATCAGAAATAAGTAGTAGTGTTAAGACCCGAAGATCATTAATTATGTATACTACCAATCTGATGAATGGCTTGAGAAAGATTTTATAAGAGGAAAGAGTTAGAATTGTTACAGATCGAGATAATGGGTCAATCGTTGACTCTCTTATATCGGCCACTCTGATTCTTGTTGGGTCAGCTCTAGCACCGGCACCAGTTGCACATAGAACTTTCAAACCCCTCTTAACACATGCAGCCAGAAGTCCCACCTAACATTATATTTGAAATGAGACCAAAATATCAGTGTGCATCACATGTCTAAACCAGAGGAATTTCTCAAACACCAGACGTGCTATAATCTAAAGCACTATTGGAAATAGACGGATCGATTCAAGTCTGTGAAGAACGGGTACCTTGGTATCTATGTTGTCAATGCAGTCCAAAACAAAATCTGGGTTGCCTGAAAGAATTTCTTCTTCAGAAGATGAGTCATACAGCATCACTTTGGCTTCTATATGGCACTCAGGAAAGATTGAAGAGAAATGCTTCTTGAGACATATAGCTTTCGGAATACCAACATCTGCTCGTGTTGCAACAGCATGTCGATTTAATGATGAAAGTGCCACCTTCTCATGTAATTAAGAACACGTGTATGAATATATATGTAAGGGAAAAACAAGATTCACTGTGATACTTGGAAGACAAAAAGAGAATGAAATATTTGTATGCAAATTTATCTAAAACAGACCTTAAATCTGTATAGTGAAGTTAACAGAGAAGCCAAATATAACCAATGATACCTGGTCAAAGTCAACGAGGAGGAGCTTCCCAACACCTGACCTCAAGAGCATAGATGCAGCATGACTCCCTACACCCCCAAGTCCAATAACCACCACATATGATCCAGTGACTTTACGCTGAGATTCAAGATCGAAAAACTGGATATTCCTAAACAAAACAAAATTAACAGAAGCCTTTTAGAATCAAGGAAATCAACATAGCATTACGTAATGTGCTGAACATCAAACAAAAAGGTTCACACATGAAAAGCATAGCATGATTCGACAAGCCACACAATGATTTCATTTTAGTCTTTCACTTGTGCCTTTTACAATTTTCTTAACAACTTACATAAACCAAGACAGTACATACCATATAGCTTATATCTCTTTACTATCACAATATTTTTCAAGAAACTTACATAACGTTAAGATTCAAGATCAAAAGCTGTATTCCTAGAGACACAAATTAGCATAAACTTTCTAGAATCAACATAGCATCAGGCAATGTACTTAACCTCAATACAAAAAAAGACTCACACATCACAACATATTGACTTAACAAAGATAAAAGTAGAATCCTTTTGAGTCTTTTTACTTGCCTCCTTATTACAGTATCCTAGCAACTTGAACGAACCAATCCTTACATAAAGATCATAGCTTTTGTCACTCAATCATTTCACTGCAACAAAGACACCAAGATTTTAAAAAGGTACCTGGTTAAATGTTCAGAAACAATCTCATCTTCCAAAAGATCCTGACCAATTGCTGAAGTAACTGGCCTCGTTTCAGACTCAGTACCATTCCCTGCAGGTAACACCAATTTCATCAATACTTAAAGCTGCAGTCTTTATGGGTTTTTAATGATTCAAAGGAAACAGATTTTGCAAAATCACAAAGTACCTAAGAAGTTAGTTTCTGGGTTTTGCTTCACTGAGCTCCTGCGAGAAAAAAAATCGAATCTTTCACTTATCTAAAGGATTTAGAGGTTCTGTAACACGAAATTGAGAGTTTTTGGGATTATAAAAAAAATAAGGGTTATTAATTGCCTGGAGAGGAGTTTAAGGAGAGCGACGGTGGAGACGGATCCGATAAGAGCTCCGGCTCCGATGAGAGTCAGATACTTTAATTTCTCCTCCATTACCGTTGCTTTACTTTTGTCTTTCCCAGCAAAAGATACGAATCGAATTATAAAGTTTATTGGAATGAGGTTTAGGGTTTATTAAGTTTACCATACATTAATGCTTAATTGCTTAATATTTTTATTTTTTATTTTTTCTCCCTACAGATCTTTTATTTTCCTAGAAACTTGATATATTAGTTTATCGGAATTGATTTTTTTCGAGAGAGAGAAAAATAAGGACTGACGGACCTACATGGGAAAAACATAAATTCGTGCCCATGCACATTTTGCAAGTCTATCGGTACGGAAATTCAACATTCTAAATAATGTATATGCCTAATACTAAACTCGACATAATCGGCCAATTCATACCTAACCTAATAGCGAGTGTTCAATTCATACCCAACATTTGTCTATGTGTAAATACATACTTAACCTTTTAACATATTTAAATTTCATACCTAAAATTATCAAATTGTATGAAGTCATACATATTGCTGACATGGATGCCACGTCTTTGATGATGTTGATGACGTGGTAGCCACATCCTCGATAATGTGGTTGCCACGTCATCATCTTTCAAAAAAAAATCTCTCATTCTCCATTAATATTATCCAACAAAATTGTGATTTTTATGTAAAGATTTAAAATCTTGTTTTCAAAATTTAGAACCATTATTTCAACCGAATCTAATTTTTAAAAGATTATAAATCCACAACTCACAATTGGTCTTCAAAAAAATCTTCAAGCCACTTTTAGTAGAGAACATAAACCTTAAAATAACCTTATATAAATATTAGTTGAAAGACGGTTTTAAGTGGAAGACAAAAATAGAAATATTTAATTACATGTATTGCCATTGGAATAATTTTATTTTAAAAAACAAAATACAATTTCTCATTATTGGTAATATTGTATTTGTATCTTAACTTATATCTATGTTTTCAAAAATTAATATATATGGTTGTATAATTTATGTTTTTACTCAAAGCGACTTGAAGACTTTTAGAAGAGGAATTACAAATTTTAAGTTTATAACCTTGAAAATAAGTTTTAAAATCTTTAGAAAAAATCAGAAGTGATACTTGTTATTGATAATATTAATAGAAAATAATATAAAAAAGAAAAAAAATATATATTTTTATTTTTGTTTTAAAATATGATGACGTGGCAATGACGTCATCAAAGATGTGGCAACCACATCATCAATGTCATCAGTGACATGGCATCCATGTCAGCAGTAGGGAAAATGGATGTATGATTTTTTACGATTTGCAAAGTTCGGGTATGGAATTTGAATTTTTTTAAACATTAGGTATGTATTGGTACATTGACAAATATTAGGTATGAATTGAACATTCAAGTTTATGTTGGGTATGATATAACCAATTATCCAACTCCTACGCAGAAAAGTAGATTCCCAAATCTCCAAGGCGAAAGCTGGCAAATCCTCCCCGTATGCAAGCATAGTGACCAGATCCAGATAATATGTCGCAACGATAACTTTGTCGATAGAATGAGCTACCAAGCATTTCATTGCCCATAACAACGAATCTAACTCTATGTGAAGAGGCGAGAGGCTCCTTGCTGAACACTTTAACCCTAGCTGAACGACCCGGTCACCATAAGAGGCTACTCATCCATGGCCACTCCTAACATCCTTCTCCACCCAAGAGCCATCAATAAAGCATACTAGGCTACCAGCACATCATGCGGTGGAGGAACTACTCCTCTCCTAACCTCATCCTCTTTTGGTGCGTCATCTTTAGTATTGGCTTATCTTCTTTAAGTATTGCCTTCTCCACTGTATCTTGTGATGACTCTTCCACATTCTCAAAAATCTTCTTGCTCCTTGCTTTCCATATGAACCACATATACCATGGAAAATTTTTCAAACTCTCTTTTGAAGCACCTCCCATCTTTCCTCTCCAGAAAAGAAAATTCAAATTGCTATATAGACCTATTTTAAACCTTATAATCATAGTTTCTGTTTCTTGATTTTAAAATGATAAATGACATATACACGATTAAGATGATTATCTTATATTTCTTATGCAATGTAGTGAATGAAAACTCTTGTGGAATCACTTCTTACCTGCATCTTCTTATATATTAACAACTTGACGATATATTTTGTATATACATACACCAAAAATAAGAACAGTATATAAATTATTTTAGATGATGTTTAATGGAACATATGTTTTGAAAAAATTTACATAATTTTTTTGTCTTTCTTTAATATGATTCCAGGACCTCCAAAATATATGATATGTCCGACTGGTAACCCTGAATCTAAATCTTCGTATACTTTATAACCATGATTGTTATCAGAAAATGTCTCTATATTCTTTACCATTCCATCGATCTTATAGTTCTCATCGACTGTAGTTATATTACAGATATGTGCATCGTAGTTTGGATCCAACAATGGAAAATATCCATTCCCCATTTGAGGACCGGGGAGAGATGCCGTATATGCTTCTCCTCCCCATTCAATATCGTTAGCAAAACTCTGTTGAAATATTTTTGATGGCCAAAAACCAATATTTATTCCTCCAAACTCAAGCCACCATCTATCATTTGCTTTATCCTTTGATCATAATCCACATCAAAACCAAAAAAAAAAACATATAACAATTGTACATGCAAAAAATGTTTTATATATATAGATAAAAACTTTTGAGTTTCTTATTTATATGTGTGATTGTAAAATGGAGAAAAAAATTAATATTTTAGCAAACCTTTAATATTCTATATGTATCATAAGCACTTGGTTTAGCACCACGAACAGTAGGAGGACCTCGGATCACACCAAGAGGAATATCTCGACGAACTAATATGATTCCCGATGAACACATGCTATTGTAACATTGGTTTTTACCTGCCTAGCTTATAATATGATTTATAATATACATAAGAAATGAGAAAATGGATATGTAATTAGTAAATCATATCATAAATATAAATTGAAATAAACAAAATTCATGTTGGTAAGAATACAAAAGATTTTCCATGTGTGTGTTCGTTGCTTAAAAAATTTAAGTAAATTAGGAAAATGGTATGTTTTAAAAATATTTTTTTAAAGTGTCATATATATCATTAAATACTTTAAAAAAAAAAGTCCTTTGAAGAAATAATATATAAAACCAATTAACTTACTTTTGTATAAACAAAACTTCTTGGTTTGAAGTCGGGATATAAACTTGGATTGATCTGAAATGAAAATATATAGCTATTAATAGTATAATAAGCAAGTATTCTATACAATACGATAATAAAAATACAAACTTATCATGTTTTGTTTTTCATTTTTTGGGTCAAACCCAACTTATCATGCTTTTTAATTCAATATTAGTTAAGTAAAAACTCTAATTAAATATATATACCATGTTGAAACAAACTTACAGTCCATCCAACTTGAATAAAATCATCTCCCATCTGAACATGCATACGAGCAGAACTAAATTGTGGATATTTCACTTCAGGATCATTTACAGAAACAACCATTGATGCTCCATTATAGTTTTTTCGTTCGCCTTTCTTTGTACGAGCCACCGCAAACTAATCATTATCACCATTCAATAATCAACTTTTTTTTAATGATTTTGATAGAATATTAAACATTGTGCATGGTTTAAAAATAACAAAGAAAATAAAAATAAAGATGATTGCATACTTTTAAAATTGATAACCAATATTAATTTAATGTATTAAAGGTAATAAATTCTTAGAAAAATAAAAGCATACAAAGAAAAAAAAAGAGTTAAACATCTTATAAAACATAACAAAAAGTACTTACATGATGTTGGATTTTATTGATACTATTTTGATTATTAGTGAAGTTCCAAGATCCTTTGGGTTTATATTTGTCAAAATGCAAATTTAATCTCAATAGTTTGTCATTAGTAATCTTTTGTATGGGTACAGTATTTATAGGACAACCTACACCATTTTCCCATAAGAAACCAAACTTTTTATCACTTTTAGGTTTTTGTTTTGAATTTTTAAGTGAAGATATCCAATGCATCTACATTAATAATAAAATTTGTATTAGTGACATTAATAAATTTGTCAAATAATAAAATTATTAATGGTGTAATTAGGATTATTTATAGTGACAAATAATAAATTTTATTATATACTTTGTGTTGGAGTAAGTGATTTCTCATCGTTCGATGATCAAACGCTCGTTGTTTGTAAATATCCACACATTCATAACTATCTCCATGTATAGTCTATCATCCATTAAAAAAAAAAAAATATTAGAAAATTCTTTGATAAACCTCATATGTCTCCACATACTAATACAATATTAATCAATAATTAATATTGCTTTAAGAAATAATTAGATTAAATTAACAGACTTTGATGACTTTAGCAGCATCGACAAAGCAATTGTTGAGTTTTGCTATGTCACGAAAGCATAGGATATAGCCTAACAAGAATAACAACATCCTTGAAAAACTTAATTTCATAAGTTCTGGTTAAAGTGACGATCAAATAGTCAAGGACCAGAGATTTATTAGATCATATATAACATAATATAATATCAAAAAGTATAAGGCAAAAAGTATTATTAAGAACACTAATGCTTTCAAGATACATGTGATTTATTTTTCATTAAATTTTAACAATATAATTAACTTATTTAATTTTTATTAATTGTCTTATGTACTTTTTTTTTGGGTAAGAATTAATTGTCTTATGTACTTAACTTTATATATTATTATTTTATAATAATAACTAAATTAAGTAATTTTAATGTTCACTAGATATGTGTATTTTTCAGAAATTTCCAACTATATAATTAAATAATATGATTTTGTTTTGTTTATGCATTATTGTACATAATTAGTATACTAGGAAACTCCCACGCGTTGTGTGGGTTATATTAATTAGTAAAATATACAATATTCCATAATATTAAAATATGATTCGTTATTTTTTAATTTAATATTAAATATATTTTATTAATTATTTGTTGTCTACTTAAATCTCTTTGAAAGCTACACACTTACAAATAATGTTTTGATGTATAATATTGAAAAGTAAGTTTATTTCTTAAAACTAAATATTTTTTATGGAAAGAGTTTTTTTTTATATATGTTTTTAAATTTCAATAAAGGGTAATAATTACAAAATAGTTTTCTTTTTTGAAAATTGATAGCTTACAACAAATGTTCTCTTCAAATGTTTATACAAGTATTTGAGTCAGTGATAATACTTTTTTTTTTTACATTGTGAAAAAATTATAGCTTTTTCATAATATAATATTTATTATTATTTTAAAAACAATTTGTGATAAAAAGATCTTTGGTATCGTTAGTTAGATAACAATTTTGAGTCATACTATCAAATTTTTTAATCAACTTATCAAATTTTTGTGTCTTTTATTTGTTATAACATTGGTTACACATATACAACCATTTATAGCTTTGATATTTTTAAAAAGGGCAAAAACTCATAACCATATATAGTCCAATAAAAATTAATTTTAGTATATTATCATCCCCTATATTACCATTAAAGAGATGTAATTTTGTGTTATGAAATATCAACTTGGCTATATGGAGTTTGAAATCTGATTTTAAAGTCAAATTTATTTAAGAGGTTTCAATAAGATAACTTAGACAAAAAAAATTTTATTTAGTTATGGAGATTTATAAAATATACACATGAGGTTAAATTTTGTACAAAAATTAACAATTATGTATTTGGAAGCTGAAAAAGTCAAGATTTCATTAATTTTAGATTATGATGGTGAAACAAGCAGCTCCACACATCTATATTAACACTTTTGAAGTATATTTTGTACACAAACTTTTGTTATGTGAACAAGTATCACGCATGCTATTGTGTTTTAGACAATTAATCAAATTTCATTAGGTTAAATGATGGTGAATATAACGTGTTATATATGCACTCGGTGGAAAAGAACACACCATTGCATTTTGCTTGGATCCCTACACAAAGATGTGAAGATGTGAAGGATCCCTACAAAGCTTGAGATGCTGCTATGAGATTCCACGATAAAGTACTCTACATGAAAACATTTGTGATTTTTGATTTTGTGAAGGTTTATGGATGTGGTTTGTAGAACTACATAGAAATGTCTCCAGCTTGGATCTAAAGCTCATGGATATCTTCCCTTCTTAACTTGGATAAATCATAAAATGGTTTTGTAGTGTAGCACGGATAAAACGTAACCCTTATTTCTCTAATTTTTAATACCATTGTTGTAACTTTTTTTTTTTTTGGTTTCTAATCCTATCACAATACTAAAAAATACATACTTTATTGGCAAAACAAAGAGCGAGTACACTAATCACTAAATTGAGACTGAAATTAATTTAGGAGTCACAACTGGTAAAAAAAAGTTTAATTCAAAAGGGGATCGTTTCACTTTGGAAACCAACTAATCCTTTAATAATTTGCATTAGCAATCACAATGCTGAGATTGTATACATTGCCATGCCCGAAGTTCATCTAATGCAAATGCAATCTAAAGAGTCCTACTAAGAATAATACAAGATGCCACAAAGCATCCAATTAACACTGCAATGTTTCGTATCTAACAATGTGCTTATTGCAAATTGCTTATAGATCTCAGCGCAAGCTATAAACCGAGATCCAGCGATACATACTCAGGCTTAAACAAAAGGTCTCGGTAAAGAGGATAGCAAACGAAGAACCAGTACCTTTATTTTTGCAAATGATGAAAAAAAAATGTGAAGACGTAACAATTTTAAAAAGCTCTCACTTCTTCAAGAGTACGGCACTGCACTGCGCCATGATCTTTGATGCTCTTGTGATCGAGTTTGTCATGTAAAAGTTCTCAACCGCGGGTTGGAACGGTGTTGTGCTCATTGTCTCCTTGCACTCAGGCTTCAATGAAGGCCCAAAAGCAGCTGGCTCTCGCTCATCTGTGTTGACGAGATTTGGTGCGACGCTCTTGATTCTTGATCGAACACCTTCAATTGAGTTGTATGGAAGTTTCACACCCGAGATCTCGGATAATGCTCTCACAATCTTCCAGTCATCTCTTGCATCACCAACGGTTGGAACAGCGGGAACAGTCTGTTGAGTAAATCCTTCTGTGTTTTCGTAGGTTCCTTCTTTCTCGGTGAAGGCTGATGCAGGGAGAATTACATTTGCACGGTAAACAGCTTTGTCTCCATGGTGGCCTTGGTAAACCACGAAGGCGTCTTTAGGAATCTTGTCAACATCTACATCGTCTGCTCCCATCAAGTAGACGAATTTTGCAGACTCAAGGGCTTTGGCGGACTGTTGAATGAGACCGAGATCAAGTGCAGCCGCTTGAGCAGCATACAGAAGGAGATAGTTGAGACCGTTCCAGTCTGATCGGACAACATTGTTGGCTTGTGCAATGGATTCAACAGAAGAGAGGATAGCATTTTTATCAGTTCTGTTAAAGAGCCCAGCACCAACAATGATTGCAGGGTTTTTGGCGTTCTTGAGAGCTGTACAGAATGGGTGTCGTCCCTCAGCAATTTCCTTTAGAGTATCAGGCCCAGTCCCGAGATGTTTGCAGTCGTAGTTAAACTCTGTAGGTGGACCAACGTATCCAACCTTGGCTTTCGATGCACGGACTGTCTTGCAGATCCTTGCATTCACCATAGCAGCTTCAACCCTAGGCTGGTAAAATAGAGAGAAAACAGGTGAATGTGTTAATAAACCTGCAGATGGTTGATATCTCAAAGAGCAATTTTTGCTTAGGAGAAACCAGATGCCTGAACATCAAGTATTAACCCGGATCAGGAATGTAAATCTTAACACAATTTTTTAGACACCCATGAAAATCTTAAGCATTCCATATTTTAATATGCACAGAGTCTATAGCCACTCCACCAAACCAGGTTACACAGAATTTTTTTTTCTGTGTCATTGATCCAAAACAAAAGTGTCTGTCTAAATCCAGTTCTCGTAACCTTGCAAAGAGACAGGGTCAAAAGCTCACCTGAGTACCAATTAGAAGGAAGAGATCGGCGTTCTCAAGGCCACTGATGCTAGTGTTCATCAAATAACTGTACCTAAGATCAGCGTCAGCACCAACAGCTGTTCCTTCACACCAGACATTGTCTGAACCCATTCTATTTACAAAGTCCTTCAATACCATCATGGATTCTGCATCGGATAGCTGACCTGCTACTCCAACAATCTCATCTGGCTTCACCTGATGAATGACATCACCCACAACAGCCAAGGCATCACGCCAGCTCACTGCCTTGAATCGTCCATCAGAATCTCGGATCATAGGGTCGCTAAGCCTTTGTCTTTTCAGGCCGTCATAACAGAATCGGGTTTTGTCAGATATCCATTCTTCGTTAATTTCCTGAATAAGAACATTCACAAGTTCAACATCCAGCAAAATACTTAAATAGCAATTTTCAATAAAAGTATGACATACCTCATTAAGGCGTGGAATGATACGCATCACTTCTGGTCCTCTACTATCAACACGGATGTTGGACCCGACAGCATCACTAACATCAATAGTTTCTGTTGCTTTCAACTCCCAGTTTCTGGCTTTAAAGGCAAAGGGCTTTGAGGTCAAGGCTCCCACGGGACAGATGTCTATAACGTTTCCAGAGAGTTCACTGGTCATAAGCTTTTCAACATAAGTTCCAATTTCTTCTCCACTACCACGACCTAACATACCAAGATCCTCAACCCCAGCAACTTCTGAAGCAAATCGAACACACCTACAAAGACATTATAGAAACTTAACCTAATCAATAGGATAGCATATGCATCACATTAACTAAAAAATCACATTTTATGCAAACTATCTTAGTAACCTTGTACACTGAATACACCGAGTCATAACAGTCTTCACAAGAGGACCGAGGTTTTTATCAACAACAGATCTTTTCATCTCCGTGAAACGGCCTCTGTCAGATCCAAAAGCCATAGACTGATCCTGAAGATCACATTCTCCTCCCTGGTCACATATAGGGCAATCCAGTGGATGATTCATCAACAAAAACTCCATCACTCCTTCCCTCGCCTTCTTTGCTATTGGTGTGTCAGTCTTAATCTTCATCCCTGTTAAAAAAAACACTCTTTAGTAGTCTACCACTATACTACATTACAGAACACAAAACATTACCCAAGAATGAATCTGATGCAAATGGTATACTTACTAAGGGAAAAAACAAACCTAAACACCGAAGATAAACTAATAGAGCAAATCAGAGAAATGCCTATAGTTAACAAAACTCTCTGCTTTCGTAATCGTTTTCATCATCATCAAACTAAAACCCAACAAAATTGGAATAGAAATGAAGCTGAAACTGCAATCAACAGATAACAATAGCACAAAATCCCAATTTCTTCTACCAACCAACGATCAAATCAATCAATCACCATGGAAAATTTTCCTCGAATCAACTAACCGGGAAGCGCGGGCATGGCACACGACGCCACAGGCTTGGGAGATTTCTCGACCTCAACAAGACACATCCTGCAATTTCCAGCAATCGACAAACGAGAATGATAACAAAACCTCGGGATATCAACTCCGGCGACCTCACAAGCCTGAAGAACTGTGAATCCTTTAGGGACTTTGACCGCGTGACCATCAACAAAGACCTCGATCGCATCCTCAGGATTCGAGAAATGGACGCGTGCTCCGCCTATTGGGTTCCTCGGAGGGATAATCTGCGTCGGCGGCTCAGGCTCAGAGACGGCGGCGGATTCAGGAGATTGGAGCTCCGGTTTGGTGACGATGGAGCGGAGGAAGAAATTGGAGGATTGGGATTGAAGAAGACGAGAAGCTGGTCGAATGGTTCGAGAAGCTAAGATGCCTAAACCCATGGCGTTGTGGATCTGTATCGTCGTCTTCTTCTTCTTCGTCTAAGTGTGATATTTCTCGATCTTGTTGTGAGAACTCCTGAAGCATTTGTGAGAGACACAAGGAGACACGAATGAGCTAGTTTTGGGCTTAATGGGCTTTAATTTTGGATAGTCAAAAACTGGGCTTAGATTGGATCAAGAGCTATGCTAATTGGATTTTTTCTTTTTCGTTTCTAACATCTTTCATTTAGTACTTTAAAACAAAGTTTACTAAGAGAATGATTACAAATATAAATAGGTAAACAACAATAGCAGAAAAATGATTTTTTTTTTAAAACGAGAGTCAAATTTTCACATATGCTTTTTTCAAAACAAAAGAAAACCTTACATTGGAAGATATTTAAATCCGTTACTTTTAATTTTCGTACTTAAAACTAAGTTGATGCGATATTTATGTTTGATTATTATTAACTATACGTTTTTGTCGCATGTAAAACCAATTTCAACGACAAACTTTTATTTACTCTGATTATGCATTTTCACTTAATTATTTTATTGATTAATGAAAATACAAAGTTAAATACGCCAATCGTACTAGATGTTTCAAGGATAGTTCAATATGTGTTCAAGGCTCGCATCCTCAAACATGTAGTGCGTTAATTTCGCAACCTTGTAAACTTACCTCAACCATAGCATATTCATCATTGAGCTATATGTATTATTTTGAAAAGACTATCACCTAGACTATAAGAGTAGTTACGTAAAAATAACTATCTTTTTTTCTTTTATGTATGCGATTTTAACTGGACGTTGTCTATGTTTTAAGGTTGCCTTCATAGTTATAAAATTATTTAATCTTTAATTTTAGTTGAATTCTATGAATATTTTGTATTAGATCTGTGAGGTTCATACAAAGTTACAAACTTCACAAAATGTTTAATATTTTATTTTTATATCTAACTATATATATATATACATATATTGTTATCAACATGTTTTCGCTTCTAATTCTATACAAACAACACATTGGAACCTCTAATAAAGTATTGCATTCATAATTGCATCACAGCCGTTTACTTGATACATAAGTTGTAAACCTCTACTCAAACCATTAGCCCTTGAAAAAAAATATAATTCAGACAAAGACAACTTATAAAAATAGTTATATAAATGATAACTTATTTTAAACATCTCAACGACGTCTAATTAAATCAAAGTAGAAAAAAAGGATTAACAATACCAATTGCTGCATCGGTTAAGGTTTACGTGTAAGTATTAGATTATTTTCCTCATTTGTTTAAGTTTACGTGTAAGTATCATTGTCATTGATATTGTTCTTAATCTAAGATTTGTATTGACAAGCTAAAAACAAAACAAAATTACATTAGTTTGTAGTATATATTATATCTTTTAACATTACAGGCAGACATGATGAGAATAAAGTTAATCCGATAGTAAGCTTTTAAATCTTTTATATATATAGTCATTCGCTACAATTAATAAATATTACATTTCTCCAATTGTGATTAGATAATGTAATCAAACAGATCAAACGGATTATGTGGATTAAGTACAGATTAAGCGAATCATCCAAATTAAGTATGTAGGTATTGTGCGGTTTAATTATAGGGTAATTCTCATAATTACTACTAAATTTGGGTCTTTTCAAAATATCATTATTAATTTTTTCCCAAAAATAATTTTAAAATATGTTTTCTTCCAAAAATAACAAAATATTGAAACTAAAAATTTGATTATTCATAACTAAGCCTAAATCCTAAACACTAAACTCTACCCCCTACAAACTATATTTTAACTTCAAACAAATTTAACACAAACCAAAAATCTACACAATTGAAAATCAATTTTCATGTTTATGGTTTATATGGAATAAATATAATTTTTTGTGCTATTTAGAAGAAAAACAAAACTTCAATTGTGGTGTTTTGAGGAATATTCTTAATTATATGTTTAAATAAACAAAAATGGTTCTAAATAGTATAAACTGCGAGATATAGTAACATAAAGTCTAAAAATATATATGTTTACATATATATAATATCAAAATAACTTATATTTAATATAAATATAATTTTTTCTTATCCACAATTTTTCGGTGCAGTGTGTAAAAGTTTTGGAGAACCATCATAACAAAATTATTTATTTGTTTTATTTGTGTATTGTAGCTTCTAAATTAATATATTGTGCTTTTAAACTCAAAATGTGTGCATAATAGAAAAATAATAATATTTTATTTGCACACAAAATTAACATATACTTTTTTTATGCATTTAAAATAAAATTAAAATAAACTACTATTAGAAAAACCACACATGTATGCCTCATAATTGAGGCTTCTAATTATCCACCTACACACTACACGAATCAACAATTTTCTTTTATCATATAGTTGGAAGGATTTAAATGGAATTCATCTTGTTATACACATAAATAAAAGGGTTATCTTAAGAGTGTCAAATATGTCTGTTTACACTCTACCAACCATTGTGTCAACATAGGTGTTATGAAATATCGAGGAATAGTAATATTTCAATGAATCAAGAGTTCAAATTACTCATTCATTTCATTACTTTTTTTTTTTTGAAACAGTTCATTTCATTACTTAATATGCAAATTTAATGACTAATTTAAAAAAATATATAGTTGTACAAGAACAGTTCGTTAATTTATGGGAATACTAAACCATTTATATCGCCTTGTGTTTGTTGAATTCTAAGCACAAATACTTAATTTGAGAAAAGTATTTTGCAAAAGACAACTTTTAATCGTTGTTACATTAAATCCAAAGAACAAAAAAGCAACAACATTTTCTTCATACAACTCGATAAAAGCTAATTAATATCTATAATCTAAACAACGATAAAATAAAATTAGTTGTGATCATCTCTACATGTTTTAAATAGGAAATTTAATCTTATTAGATCAAGGATTTTCCTAAACAAAAATAAGAATTAAGATCACGATGAACAATATATATTTAGCACTTTTTTTGCCAAAGTCAATATATGCAGATGCAAATTAGGTGTTTTGTGTTGTCAATATATTTGCTTACTTCTTTATTTAAAATGGGACACCTCCTCATATTCACATATATAGTTTTCTTCTCTTTTGTTTTATACACAACGACCAATATGAAATTTAAAACAAAACAAAAAAAATTCTCAAAACTGACCAAAAAATTTTGATTACCTCAAACAAAACTAATACGTTAAACAACCAGAAAATGAAATAAATGTTTATAAGTTATCAAATTTACAAAAGAATTGTTATAAATAAAACTCCCCCATGTATACCCCGTGAGAGTGTTCTAGAGTAAGTCCACTTTCAACTTTATTAATGATTTCACAAATTTGGTTTATATCAGATTTACTTTATATCAGATTTTATTTTTTTCTCGAATAATTCCAGGTGGAATATTATTCTTGGAGCAAGATTTAGATTAGACATATTATTATTATTATTTTTAAAAAAACAATGATAATGTAGTCGACATGTTCTGTTGTCCTATAAAAATATGATTCTTCTAGAGACAAAACAAAACCTTACGTTATACACTCAAACTCATAAGACACCAAAACAGAGAAACAAAAACGCATTTTCTCAACAAATCAACATCACACACGAGAAAGAAGAGACACAGCTCTCGTGATCATCATCAAACTAGACAAGAAATGAGAATCAGATCCAAGTTTTCGATTTCAGATTCTTGATTTTGTTTTCTTGATGGGTTTGGATTGGATTCTTGAAAAGATGATGGGGCGTTTAAGGAGAAGGCAAGAGATAATAGATCATGAGGAAGAAGAAGAAGAAGAAGAAGAAGAAGAGGAAGAGGAAGAATCAAACGAAGAGATAGGATCATCAAGAAGAGGTAAACTGAGTTTAGCCGAGACGTTTCGGTGGCTTGATTCATCGGAACATCGGAAGATTGAAACTGATGGTCATAATGATTATAAATTCATCATTCATCCCAAAACTAGGTAACACAATCTCTTCATCTCTCTCTATCTCTCTTCATCATGTCATGCCCACTTTAAGAGTTCCTTTTTTATTGGGAGACTAAAACGTTAAAAAACAAAAAACAATATTCGCAAATTCTTGAAAATTATCTAAAATTATTCTTTATTATCTAGATTAAATTTTTTTTGATTGATTATAGTTATAGCCAATCAAGAAGTTGTACTGAAAATATGGGCAGAAATCTTTTACTATCAATTTCTTTATATTATATTGTTTTTTTAAATTATTTTTACTCATTTTTTTATCGACAAAAATTTATTTACTGATTTGTGTTAACTGTTTGATTTAATAGTTTCGGAAAAACAAACGCACATCATATAGTGCGAAATGTTTTAATTGTAACAAAATTCTACTTTTTCTTTATGAGTTAAATCAACAAATTTTTAATTTCATACTATTAGATAAAATTTTATATAAATATAAAATCTTATTGACAGTATACCTTCACAATATTTATATGTTGTTTTGACACTTAATATTACAGTTGTCTCTGTTTATTTTAAAACTATTATAAAGATTTATGGATTTGAGAACATTAAAGGAAAATTAAATCAAATCTATAGATGCTAATTAGGTGATTTTGTTGTCGATATGCTGCTTTAATCACCTCCTCATCATATTCTTATCTTTTTTTATTCTCTTTTGTTTTTCACCCTCAAGTAATATCATTTGTTTTTTATACACCAATTGAAAATATATATATTTTTTAAACTAAGTGAGTGTTATTGGATAATGGATTTTAATAGAGTCTAACTCTAACCCAAGTCTAATGTTATTTAATCAATGATTTTAAATACTTTACTCAAATCAAGTGTTATTGGTTCTTATATTTGCAAAATCTTCATTAAAAGAGTTTAAAATCTAGTGTTATTGGTTCTTATATTTGCAAAATCTTCATTAAAAGAGTTTAAAATCTAGTGTTATTGGTTCTTATACTTACAATTATTAACGAAAGTCTTATGTTATTCAAGTTTGGTGGATTTTCACAAATGAATTCATTTGAAAAGCTTTGAGTGAATCTAAAACTGATTTCATGTGTAAATTATG